TTACCAAATTACCCCGTAAATCGATTGTTTAACGAATTCCAACGGAATTTTTATATCAAGAATAGTAATGATAGTCATAGATTACCGTATCGTAACAAAATATTAATGACCTTAGTAATTTCCCTATCGTAACAAAATTTTATTAATAAATAAAATGAATAGAATTATATTTATTTAATTAATGTTTACATAAAGAGTTAATGTAATAATTGCTTATTATGCAAACTAATATTATTTATAATTTATTGGTGTGATGTGTTCATTAATTTTGATTTAATTGACTTTTTATATTATTGTTTATTCTTGAAATAATTTATTTCAAGTGAGTTAATAACCTACATTGAGAGTATTTATATTAACTACTAGTTTTTTTTTACATTTAAAACATTTTTATGCCTAGAATTTAAAGAAATATTCTTGAAATTTTACCAAATACTTGACTAACATAAATTGATAATAACTACCGAATTTTTGGCCTACTGGTACAGCAATAATAATGGCTTTTGCCATAGTCTTTTTATTTTATTTTATAATGCAAATAGTATGATAAATATAAGGTAGCATATTTATTTATGTAGTCAAAGCCAATTCATATTACTTAAGTCGTCCATCCAAATTTTAAGATGAAATGAAATAGTCTACAATTTTGTTACAAAAATTTTTCTTCCTATTATCTATAAATTCCAAATTGATATTTATTTTCTCATTGCAATATTAGTTTATTTTACACTACAACGTCTGAAATATGCTAGGTAGATCTTTATTATTTATTCACACAAACACACGCACACACATGTTGGTATGTGTCGAGATGAACGATAACAATCTGCGTACTGTATACAAAAGGAAGAAGAAAAACACATGAATCCAAAATCGTGCTTTAGAAGCACACACCATTTCACAGGCAACCTTTTGCTTCTTCTCCTAAAGTGTAAACCAAACTACACACACATTCTTGCATTGTTAAGTAAGAAAGGAACACTTTCTCTAATAGTAACCCTAATTCCTCCCCTACTTTAAAACCCAACTCAATTTCTTACTACCTCGTACCTAATTAAAATAAAATAAAATAAATATTTCCCTCCACCAAACATGGCCTCTCTCAATGATGGCGAGCACCACAAGCAAAAGAGTCTCGACCAAGAGGTGAGAGAAATGATCTCGACTCTCACCAACCGCCTCGGCAGCATTCAACGGTCCCACCCCAAATCCTCGTCAGCAGCGGGGGGCTCGGGCCCCCACGATGACGAGGACGACGACGGCGACAGAGGGGTCCGCATCATCACCCTGGCGGGGACCAACCTAGGGGCCACCATGCGCGGGGGAGAAACAGACGAGAACAGTACCGGGCCGGGCGAGCAAGGCCTGGCCCGGCCCGGGCAAGAGGAGGAGGAGGACTTTGCCACATACGGAACAGTATCTTTCAAGCCATCTACAGTCTATCATGGTACTGCGGGACCTA